GAAGGTTTCCTCTTTGAGGAGACATCAAGTGAGCTAAATGTGTAGAGCATCTAAGCAGTTGATGGAAGCAAAGCTTCACAAGATGGGCAGTGGAAAGACTGGGGCTGTCCACCTGACAAATTATGACACATTCAGGAGAAATGTTTTACTGTTGTGGCGTCAAAACAGTGGAACATGCAAAGAAAGTAGAAGACAGCTTATTTAAAATGTGTGACATGTTACCTTTTCCATGATTTGCCCACTGAAATCATTGTTATAAGATTTATTCAAAGCCAGAGGATTCCCAGGACTGAAAATAGATGAGATAGCTGTCTGGATGGAAAGGACAGCCCGAGGTATCTTCAGTTAGAAGACATTTCAGAGAAGACAGGGATAAAGAAGTGCTGGGGAAATTAATTGTGTGTGTAGGTGTTTGCAGGATTGAAGTCTCTTCTGTGCATTGGCTCAAAAGTTAATCCACCATGGTGGGGACTGAGCCAAGCTGTCTGTTCAGCCTGATTTTTGGATGTGCCTCACCTTTGGATGTTCCTCTTTCCAACTCTGTGTTGGACACATCCTTTTCTGTTTTGGCTTGGCTGTTTTCCTCAATCAGATGTCAGATGAATAATTTTAGAAGTACAGCATCACTCATAGTGATGTGCTGGGGTAGATGATAAATCCTTTCCATACTTTGTGGATGTCCTGCCTGGCTTGATTCCACCACATCAGGAACTGGAGGCCACCTGTCTCTGCCCACCCTCTAGATAATGTTGAAGAGGTCTGTTTTATTATAATGCTTATTCCTTTGCATATTCCTGCATATAAATCTGCCACAGTATCTGTGCATTTGCACACTCCAACCCTTTGCACTGTGCCAGCTTTGGGAAGGGCAGCACAGGCTGCCTGTCACTTTGGTCCTTTTTCACAAAATCACAGAATCAGTTGGGTTGGAAAGGACCACAGTGGGTTATCTGGTCTAACCTCCTTGCTCAAGCATGGCCATCCCTAGAGCACATGGCATAGGATTACATCCAGTTTTCAGTCTCATCTAAGATTTCATTCTCATTACTGGTCTCTGCAACTCCACCAGCTCACTGGCTGCTTCTTAGAACATGGAAGGTGTTCCAGTTTTCCTTTTAGCTTCTAATACCTTTTGAAGACTGAAGTTATTTAAAGGAAAACATTTAGGAGCACTTGGGGCAGTTTGGCCACTATTCTGTCTCAAACAGCAGTTGGTGACATGGTGAAGGGAAAAGAGAAGAAACCCAACAAGAGTACTTGCCTCAGTCTACCATCATGGCATCTGTCCATCTTCAGCCCTTGTAGAGCTGCTGAGGACACCTGAGTGCCATGGGAGGTTCCTGCTTGCTTATCATGGCCTTGAGAGAGTGAAATCTGGTAGAATACATTGTCTCTGGAGCACACAGAGGGCCAGCACACCTCCATGGACTCAGCAGTGTCTGTGAGTGGTCGCTCTGCTGTGAGCAGCTAACCAGGTCAGTACCCACTGCAGAGCAGGCTGTGTGTCAATTTGAAGATGCCAATTCTTCATCTGCTGATTCCCTCTACGTTTGGTGTGGATTTTCTCAAAGTGCACCAGGTCCCCTTGGGATGAGTTTGGTTCTGTACGAGTGGAAGTGATGATTATCATGTTGTTGTATTTATTTGGAGAGGATGTGCAGCAGTTGTCAGACAGCACTACACACCTAATTGGGAATTCAGCTTCCAGCTGGTAGATTGAGACTGAAAGGCAGAGCTGTGGGATAGAGACGGGCAGGCACAAAATGCTGAGGCTCCTAATCTTTTACAATATGTTTGTTTAATACAAAGTGGTCTATTGAGATTGTTTTGCAGTGTAGAATAATCATTGTGTGCTGACTAATGGGAGACAGCAAGCTGTTAAGGAGCATCAATTAACTATACAGGAGGAGATTATTGAGTATTTTCACAAGCATTCAGGATGTGAAGAGTAAAGGATATTGCTTGAAGGTAACCCTCAGAGATTTTTAGCAAGTGAAATCTATAAACTGCAACAAGTGTATTTGTGGCCATACATATGGTTGCAGAGCCTTCCAGGAAGGAAAGAACTGGAGGTAGCTTTCCAATTCCAGATTGTGCTGATAGGAAATAAATAGTGCTTTGCTAAACTTGTTCTCTTATTTCATATTCATGATTCTGAAGATTTCCCCTCTTAAATTTAGCTAATGTTATCCCAGGAGATACTGGTCCTCTCTACAAAAGGTAGCTTATGCAATGCCCTTCTGACACTTGGATGTAGGAATTTGTTGCACTTCTGCTTCCCTGACTGCCTAACTGTGAGGCTGTTGTCCTTGTCCTTACAGCTGTGCCTGTAATGATTCCTATCCCTGCTATTGCTGCAAGTTAGAATTCGATGCACTTAGTGCTGAGAGGAGCATGCTGCTCCTCCATCATGTGCCTTGTATAATGGATAATAAAATTCTCCAGTTTTGACCAGTGGAGAGTATGAAGACCCATGTTTCATTAGAAATGCTTTCATCCAGCCCTACCTGGTTTCTGCCTGAGTTTAATGTGAAAAATAAATAACATTTCGTGGGCTCTGTTTGCTGAGTGATGTTGTTTGTAAGTTCCAGGAAATTTTTCCCATCTTGGATTCCAGTGTTAAATCCACTTTGTGCAAACATCATTTTCCATTTATTCATTGGCTGTGGGGAGACCAGATAACATTGAATTTATTTTTTTCAGTTTTGTTCCTTCTAAAGTAGTGTTAGAGAATTGGACCTCAGATATTCTTTTTGTCAGCAGCAAGAGATGTCCTGGGATTCCTTGTGGATTATAATAAAAAGGGACCCATGATTCTTGGACAAGGACAAAGATAGACTTCTCTCAGCTTCAATTATCTATACAAATGCCTTAATCAACAGAGGTCTCCTTTAACAGATGGTTCTGCATTGATAAAGCCTTTAATGTGTGAGCAAAAATTCAGAGAAATTTACTCCTTTTCTGATTTGATTGATTTTCTTAATCTTTTTTAAGCGGAGGCTGAGGGGTGAGAATAACTCATCAGAAGGCTATGGAGAGGATTAATTACTTGGCTGCAAAACTCACAAAGCTATTCTGATGTAAGACGTGGGATGAGTGAGTGAGCCCTGGTGAAGTTGGTGTCAGTGGGGAAATTTAACTGACTGCAGCCCTCGCACCTGCAGTGTTTCACACTGTAACAGAGTGTAGTCTGATCCCCTCTATGTCATAAGCTTCTGAACTTGTTTTAGTAGTGAAACCCTTCCTACTGATCCATGGAAAAAATCCCTTTTTCACCAGATACAGCAGCTGCTTTGACCCTGAGCAGCTGTAGCTTGACAGTGGCAAAGGCAGGAGAGGCTTTGCTACCGTAGGACTCTTGTCCTTGCAGCTGGTGCTGCTTTGAGCTCTGCCTGATCTCTGGTGCTTCAGAGAGCTGCCAAAATATCCCTGACTTTACAGGGAACTTGTCAAAGCCCTAATATGTGAGGTACCAATATCTTAATGCAGATCTGCAGATTTAAAACCCCAAGGAGATGTTCAGCTTCGCCCGCGGCCAGGAAGGGGAGGGGTTGCAGAGCAATTTCAAGGCTGGAAGGGGGTATCATTAGCACTGAGCTTGACCTGAACTGAGCTTTGGCCAAAGGATTCATCCCTGGAGCTGCAATGAAGCATTTCATGGTTCATTATCCTCACAGTAGGAAACAATGTCTTACTCCGAAGCTGAATATCTGGCTTGAATTTTCATCCATCTGATCTTCTTTTGGCTTTGTCAGCAAAGTCTGGTCTCTCACCACCTTCTTTTCCACTGTCTTTTGGGAACTAAAACAAATCATATTATCTGTCTCCATTGAATGGAATGTTTTGAACTCTTGAAGTTTCATACTCTAAGGCTTGTTTTCTGGGCTGTGGCTCACTAGGTGACCTGTCTTTGAATCCTACTCTCTGTTTCCCTGTGCTTTTTTGAAGTACGAACTCCAGAACTGTGCACAGGTTTCAGGAGAGCTCTGGGGTTTGTGCAGGTTGCAGAGGCAGCATCACTTTTCTGAAACTTTGCTGCTTTTTGATTGAGCTGATTTGGCAGGTTGTTGCCGTAGCAGAAACAGAAAATGCCATTGGACTGAGAACCAGTTCCCTGAGGGCCTTAGCAGGGTGCCTCTTCTTACAGATGTTTCCCCACTGACAACTGCATTTTGAGATGAGTCACTGAATTCATATTTAATCCACTAGTAAAATTGGCAGGCAATTACCATCTTGCAAGTTCTTCAGATCAGATTGTTAGAGAACATTAAATCAAATGCTTTGGAGAAATCCCAGTATATACATCTTTTATCATCCAGACTGTGATTCTGTCACAAGAAAAGCTTTTCCTTTATTGGGACCTGTCTTCAGTGAAAGTGCTGCCTGGTACTCATTTTGGTCTTGGCCTCTACTTCCTTGTCTCTGCTCCATTATTTTCCTTTTCTTATTTGTTACCCCATAATGAGAACTGAAAATTAAGGAATTGGTAGCTTACAGTTGTCATCTCTATTTTTTAGCATTGCCAAGCACAGAAAGCATTTGCTCACTGAAATAATGCTGTTAGTGGTGAGGCAATTAATCTGTTATGACAACCTGGTAGCTTAAAGCACAACGGTGATGAAGGTTGCTCTGCTGGGTCTCCCTGTTTGCTCCATGTGTTTTGTTCTCAGGCCAAACCACCTACTCCTCAGTGAGAGGGAAGCATTCAGAGCCCTTGTGTATTACTCATCAGTGGAGGGGCTGGTGGACTGTGAATCTGCAAACAAATGACTACAGGCAGCTTTTTGGTTACTGAGGCTGCTCCTGATAGAAAACACATGTTAGCTTAATTCAGTTTTCACTGCCACACGCTTTAGTTTACACTCACAGTTGGCTCTTCTTTTTGGTACATCCTAGTCCAAACATGACATTTGGTGTTGTTTCCTGGTGGGAGGATTATTTTTTTTTTTCACAGAAATGTACCATACTCTTCCCCTCCTTTTTTTGTCTTTTCTCTACAGGTGAAAGCAAGAGAGGAAGAACTACAGAAGGAGGAGTTCTCTGCCACTGCTAAAAAGATACAGGAGAGTGTTGAACTCAAACTGCTAGATCTTACATACCTTTGTGCTCCAAAGAAGAATAAACTGCACGGTTCATGCAGGCTGGTGTTGAGAAACAAACATCATGCCAGCAAAACGGGTTTGGGTCAGTCTGTGTGCAAGGAGGCTGTTTCAGCTGTCAGTGCTGCAGAGGTGATCAGAGAACTGAGGATGAGAGAGGGCAGCCTGCAGAGAGAGCTGGAGCAGCTGCGGGAGGAGTGCCGGCAGAGGCTGGATGAAGTTGCAGAAGGGTTGGATGGAGTGATTTGTATCTCCCCTTGAAGAGATAAAGCTGGACTGAGAAGAGCAAAGGAATAGACTGACTTGATCAGGACACGTTGTGCAGTCTGGTGTGGGTGAGTGTGAGGTGAGGAACCAAATGTAATTTCTAATTTTTTAGCCTGAGAATCATGACTTGTTACTGCTTTGTGACTTGCGCTGGGACCATAACCTCGATGGCTCTCTCTGCAGCCTCTTTATGGCTAACCTTGTCAATTAAATTCTGCATTAGGCCTTGGTGGGAGTGTGCATAAATCTCCCTTTTATCTTCCAGATTTCTAGTTCTTCTGCCAAGCACTGGGTTCTTTTACAGTGCTCAGCTGCTAGGCACGGCATACATTGAGGGTGTGCATTGAAGTACTAATAGCATTCAATATTTTCCAGAAAATGGAAGAGTTCATTAGTCAGAAAAATCCAAGTATTGGAGAACATGTAAAGTATCAAGGCTTAGAGAGATTGGAAATGTTCAAGAAAGTGTGCTGTTTTAATTCAAGAGCTTGGAGTATTTGTGGCAGGTATAATGCAGTCACGATAAAGAAATACAACTGCCTAATAATAAATAAAGCAGCACACCGATTTCATTTACTGGTGTGTTGCACTTGAAGTAATTGGGTTCTCAAAGAGAACAGACTAGAAACCCATTCCATCAAGTCATGAGTCACAATGAGATACATAACTTATGGATCTACTATAGGAAGTTTTTGTGATACAGAAATATGACCTTAACTTCCAAGCTTGAGGGAGTCTCCAAGCTCTGTCTCTGGAGGCTTTTTCCCTTGGAACATGCAAATGTTTTTAGCTTGGCTTTCATTTCCTACACTTTTCTGTTTTGCTTTCATCAATGAATATTTTTGTATTCTAGTTGTACACTTTCAGGAATAAATATATTTTTAAAAACCAGTTTGTTTTTCGTTTGTGAATTGCTATGAGCACTGGGCTTTCCTCCATCTGGATTTCTGTCTGCTACCCCAGCTTGGTTGTGTCACAGAGTACCAGTTGCTCTTGGCTCTCTCAGCAGCTGAAGGTGAGCACCTTTAAGGACCTCCTTCAAGGCATCAGTATGACTGCTGCTCCATGGGGAAACTGTGTGCAGGTGGAGTGGGTGGACAAGGCTCAGGTCTCTTGGTTTCTACTGCATCAAGTAAAACTTCAGGTGCTTCCAGACCCTGCTCGTCAGCATCAGCTGTATTGGTTCTCATGCAGTTCTTGTGGATGTGAGTGGTAATGCAAACAGCAGTGGAGAATCATGCTGGAAGGGCTGGTTTGCCCTGGTTTCACTCAGTTGATGACAGCACTGCTGGTAGGCTGGGAGTGCACAAGCTCAGATGTAAGCCAAGTTTCAGACAGCCTTTCCTCCCCATGGACCTGGTGGTTTGTCCAAGGACCAAGCTTGAGCAAGGCTGGTGGGAAGGGCAATTCTCAGATAGAGACCTCAACTCAAGTCAGCCCTACATGGATGGGACAGCCCCTGGGATCAGGGTGTGTGTGTGTGTGTGTGTGTGTGTGTTGAGTGAGTCTGTCAGTCAGAACCTGCTGAGTGTGCCAGTGACACCAGAGGGGGCACAGTCCTGGAGCAGAAAACCCCTGTAGACTAGTGAGATCAATCTCTGGGGCAGATGGGTCCAGGCTGTTGCTCCTTGAAGAACATCCATGGCCTTAAAAAGCCAATCCACATCTCTCTGCTTTCCAAACAGTCTCTGCAGATGCAGGGTACCAAGCACAGAACTGTTTCAGGCTGGTACAGATTTGAGAGGGTGTTGGCTCTGGGGCTGCTGACATTTAATGCACAAGAGGACTTACTCAGACAGAGGCTTCACAGAAAATTATTCATGAATGGGAGAGAAACAGTATATCCTAGAACTAACAAGAGTGGCAGCACCAGTCTGTCTCTCTCTGAGCATTTTATATCCTCCTCTAGCTTTTATACAAGGAAATTTTCATATTGCCTCACATTTAGGTTTAAAACATTGCCCTCACAAGATCCTTTGCTCTCCTGGGATTTTTGGCAGGGAAGAGTAGGCAAATATTCTTGAGCATGGCAAGAGCACTCGGATTCAAGTGCAGGTCTAGCTAATGCCTTGCTGTGGCTTATCAGGTTTGGCTTAATGCTGAATGCCACAATGTATTATCCTGCTGCCCACTTAAACTGATAGCAGTCACTTCTGGGATGACTTATTTCCTAGTAACAACTCTTGTCACCACACAGCACTTAGTGCAGTGTGCTTCAGTGTTCATCCAAGGACCTTTCTTCAGCAGAGACCACAGGCAGAGACCTTTCCCCTGTTTGACCCTGAAGAAGTATTTTCTCTCTGGTGGAATGTCAAGCATGACAGTGCTCAGTATGCCTGTGCATGTGTGTGTGATGTATAGAAGTGCCTACAGTGACCTGCAGGCAGCTGCATTTGCTGCCTGACACAAACTGCTGTACTGAGGTGGCTGTGTGGGAAGCTGTCAGGAGAGCCTGTGGGTTGGAGCTCCTCGTCCTGCCGTGTACATGGAGAAGGACTGCAGCTTAAAGGATCACCTTTTCACCCGTGGTGCTGTGCTGGCGTTCCACACTGTGAACACCTCGTGCTAAGAGCATAGGCAAGTACAGATTTTATTTTCTGGCACCAATTTTCTAGTGTCTTTTGTTTCAGGTACCAATTAGCTGCTTAAACCAGAGCAGCTACTCTGCGGTCCCTGTTGAAGGTCAGCAGGGCATTTTGAGCTGGCAGTGGTTTTAAAAACAATAGCAGCCTCCACTTTCCTTTGCCCTTCTCAGCACCAACACAGAGTGCACAAAGCAGGAGGTGCTCTAAGGACTTGTCTCTCTCCTGCATCAGATTTTGGAGGTTGGTTCTCCTGTGAAGGCTGCCTTTTAAAAATCATAGCACCTCTGCAGGAGTTGGACACACAGGGACCGGTCATGCCTCAGTGACTAGTCACAACTTTTGATGGCTTTTGAGTCATATCAATGCTTCTGAAATACAGATGCTTTCCAGTCCTCAAGAGCTTGGAGAGGCATTGGCTACTACTCCAGTACTGCTGGGAGATGCTGTGTGATAAACACTTAGGAGCCTAATAAAACATCCCTGGATTAACACCAGCTGCAGTGAGGGCAGGAACATGAGCTGGGTGACCACAGTTACACTTAATGGGATATAGCCTAGAAACAAATAGATGTTTGTCACATCCTACCATTACTGTGGCATTTGGAGTAATTTCCTTTCCTTGTTTAGGCTGATTTCTCTCACTCACCATCTAGCCCAGTAGTTTTAAAGGCTGCAGTGACCCTCTCAGTCCCGTGTCAGCAATCAGAGATGCTGCAGAAGGGGAAGTGGCTGCCCTGGGAGATGTGTGGCAACCAGCAACCAAGTGACTGGTTGGTCTCTGGCAGATGCTGTGACAGGCAGGAGATGACTCAAGCGGTACATGTCATCCATGGGCTCCAGCACGCTCGGTAAATGTTAAGCATTACTTCACAGAAATTGGAGAGTGTTGTAAACAACCCACTACAGCCTGAAAGCAAGGGCACAAATTGTTAAGTGGTTTGTCCTTTGCCATACCACCATGCTGGTTGTACATTTCCTTGTCAAAGCAGGAATCTGCCCTAGAATTGTTGATGGAGTTGAACGGAGAAGAGTGGGAATTGGCTGGGGAAGCTGAGTGAGTGCCTTGTCAAAGCAGGAATCTGCCCTAGAATTGTTGATGGAGTTGAACGGAGAAGAGTGGGAATCGGCTGGGGAAGCTGAGTGAGTGTCACATTGTGTGCAACTGGTTGTTAAGTGGTGTGTGGAAAGGCTGGTGGTCATGCTGTCCTAACATCTGGAATAGGCAGCAGGGTTTGGCTTGGTTTCTGCTTCTTTGAAGAGGCTACAGCAGAAGTTTTCCCTGTTGGTGCATCCTGAAGGGAGTTAGTTTAGTTTGGGTTTGGATCCATGGTTTCTAAGTGATGTTAGGAAGAGAGAAGCATATTAAAAGTGATGGCCCATGCTGGAAAAGCAGGAAAGCAGGGTTAAAATCAGCATTTGTCAGAGATGCTGCACATGGTTGTGGGGTACACTTGACAAGAGTCAAGCAGTGAAGAGTTGTCCCAGAGGTTCAGCTGGTGACAGCTCACAGCACAGCCTGTCGTCCATGTGAAGTCCCCATCACAGCTAACCCTTCTTGCAGAGCTGGGAGTGCCTTGCCTTTTGCTTCATGCTCTGGTGATGCTTCACTGAAGACAGGCTGAGTTGCTGCTGCAGTGTTTAAACCATGCTCTCTGGTGATGTCAGAGATGCTGCACATGGTTGTGGGGTACACTTGACAAGAGTCAAGCAGTGAAGAGTTGTCCCAGAGGTTCAGCTGGTGACAGCTCACAGCACAGCCTGTCGTCCATGTGAAGTCCCCATCACAGCTAACCCTTCTTGCAGAGCTGGGAGTGCCTTGCCTTTTGCTTCATGCTCTGGTGATGCTTCACTGAAGACAGGCTGAGTTGCTGCTGCAGTGTTTAAACCACACTCTCTGGTGACGGATTGCTTTCAAGCACAGGCTTAAGAGAAGCTTTTGCAGGACTTCTGTGTGTGTGGGTTCTGCTAGGCCAGCGTGGAGGTGTTTACAGAGAAGTTTAACCCATTGCTCTGCTGTAACTGGTGCTTGCTTTCCAAGCATCTTGCTACGAAAACGGAATTGGCCTTAAATACTTAATTGGCTGATAAGTCTGGCTCGCACTGTGTAGCTGGAAATATTCCTCCCCAAATAACTGAGCATCAATCAGCTTGCAGTCAAAACAGGAGGTTTACTTTGCAAAAGGCAAGCGTGGCATCTGCAGCCACCGCTCCCAAAAACATCGCGCCTGCTGGTAAATAAGGGCTGCAACCTATGTTTAAAAATAAGAGCTGCTGGGAGTAGTGATTTCCAGCCTGGAGTGTTTTGGGTTCCCTGTGGGATTCCTCCACCAGCTTCTGCTGGAGGATGAGCTGCTAGCAGTTGGTGTGAGCGTGTGTGTGTGTTGCAGCGTGGTGCAGGCTCAGTGGGAG